ATACCAAAGTGACATACATTTTAGAGTCCAGTTTTAAAATAATGAGTATGAGCTGCTAATGGGCCATCTTCAAAGAGACTTGAGTAGGTAATTGGTATAGTTGTAACTTAAGTGAGAAATTAGAGTTTGATAATTAGATTTGGGGACCATCACATACTACTGAAACCATAGAAATAGGTGCAAGAAGGGGCAGAGGACAGAACTGGTGATCACAAACATTTATGAGGGAGTGGAAGAAAACAAACCTGCGAAGATACCAAGAAATAAGAGTTGGACAACCCCACTTGCTGGGGTGCTGGCGTTGTCATAACGAAACACCACAAACTAGGTGACTTTTACAACAGAAATTTACTTTTCACAGTTTTAGAGGCTGGAAGTTCAAGATCAAGGTGTGGGTAGGTCTGGTTTCTCTTGAGGCCTCTATTCTTGGCCTCTCTTGAGGCTCTATTCACACCTCTGATGTTACTTTCTCTTATAAGGACATCAGTCACATTGGATTAGGATCCCACACTCATGACCTCACTTAACTTTAATTGCCTTCTTAAAGGTCTATCATCAAACAGTCATATTATAGGTAAAGTCTTCAATGTACAACTTTTGAGAAATACAGTTTTGTTCTTAACACGGGCTATGTTAGTAATACCAACACAGAAATCAAAAGCAAGAGAACACCAAGGTAGAAGTGAGCATGATAGTAGACAAGAAATAGAGGAAGAATTCAGGTAAGCTACTGATGGATATCTGACCCCAACACCCAGTGTTAACAGCTAAAGACAAGTTGTGAGCTATGCAAAAGAACTTTCAAATGGAGAGGTGACTGCTGTGGATTGATGAATGAATAAAATGAGGACGAAGTAATAGCAAAAGGATGACTGATCATTCCAGAAGCACCCCCAAATAATATGGAAACTGCTATTCAGGTGGTAGGAATCAACTACCTGATCAATCTCTTCTAGAATGTGGACTGTAGGCTTTGGTTCAAACCCAGCTCTGTCCCTGACTAGCTATGTGAACTTTGCCAAATAATTAATCTCTCAGTTTTTCACCTATAAAAAGATTAGAATAGTACTACAAGAACATGCTCTAAAATGTTAACAAGTCATTAATTTTCGGTGATAGGATTAAAAATCTTTCTTGTTTTCTGACTTTGACTTATTTGCATTTCAGATTTCATTAACCAAAATTAACATAATTACTTTTATAGTTAAAAAAAGTTATGTATGTTTTCTTCAAAAGAAGCTATTCATGCTTTTTGTAAATGTGGCAGAATTGCAAATTCTACTACTAAATAATTTCAAAGGATGGACTGGATAAGAAAACAGATATTCTCATTTTTCCTTCTATTAAAGACAAGCAATATATACTGAATACTGTAGTACAGAGTGAGATTGCGATTCAAAATAGAAAAAGAAATAATCTGTGTTTTTAAGAACTTTGTAATCAATGGGGTGGAATTCCAAACAAACAAATAAATATAAGGCACTCCATGTCGCAGTGGGAGAAACATAAAATACAGGGTAAATCAACTTAATGCTCCTTGGCTTCTCTCTGGGGGCAGAGAGATCATCTTAGGCTGGAGCAATCACAAATGTTTCCTGGAGGAACTGGCAGGGGGACCACCCTGAAAGGGTAGGTGACTCCCACAAAGTCACCATTGTCTCAGTGCTTATTGGTCTGTTTCACAATAGAAGGAAAATTGGTCAAGAGATAAGAGCTAAGAATGCAGAATGATTGATTTACATGGAGGGGAATCTCCCTGTTAACTACTTTAGTTGCCAGTAACCTCAACAGCTGCATGTCAAAAAGTTCAGGGAGTAGAAGAAAATTCTTGCCTCATCACAACTGGGAAATGCAGAACTTCAATTAACCACATTTTGATTCAGTCCAATTGTGGTGTGTATGTTTAGAGTTAATAAAACTTCAAAAATGGAGATATCCAAGCTGTTTAATTTTGGGTCAAGTTGGTTTTTACTGTTTTTCAACTTGATAAAGGCTTAAAAATTATTTTCTTTGATGAAGTTTAAAGTAGAGCTTTTTTTTTTTAATTTCAATCTGCCAGTGGCATAATATGTATAGTTAATGCCTTTGTGAAAACACAGGAGGTTATACTAAGTCAAATACACAACTGTGTGAAAACAGAGTTGTCACTAAAGTTATCAAGTTATCAGACTTCTATTTCAATGAGAATCCCAAAAGAAAGATGACACTGATACATTTTTAAATTTGCTACACTGATATATGTGTGTTTATATGTCTATGCTTTGTTGTGATAGTTTCTAAAAGATGAGTTTGCATTTGGCCTTGCTGAACACAGACTCTCAATTTCACAGGCGATTGAAGATTAACTCGGAAATGTTAAAAGCAAATTAAATCAAAACCCACGTTGGTGATGTGTGATGACAAAGACCACCCGTTCAGTGTCCTACCATGGTATCAAATACTTCTAACCAGGCCTTTAACAGTGTAAAACATTGGCATTTGCAATAGCTATAGAACATAAAACCTTTGAATTAATTGGACATTTATTTTCCTCAGTGTGTTCTGAGGAATAAGGAAGTCTTCATATGCTGTCCAAGGAAGCTAGGCCAATTTTAAATTAAAGAGAAAGAAAAAAAAAAAAGAAAAGAAACACACAAACATCTCCATTTTTTCAAAAAAAGGATGCATTAATGATATCACCCCCAGCTGAAATCTAGCTTGTTTATATCTTCATTTATTAGATAACAGCTTGCCCATTCCAGAGTTTTGAAATAAGTAGGATGATAAGTACAATTTTCTTCTGAAGCTTCATTATTTCATTAGTTCATTCACACAGTGAATATGTACTAAACACCTATTATGTGCTAGGTGTTGGGGATACAGTAGTGGATGGAAGGAAAGATTAATCATTGTACTTGAGAAGTTCGAACATGAGTGGGGAGAAGAATCAAAATAGCTGTTATTATTAAACTACAGCTGTAGTGAATGCTAACAAAGCAAGACATACTGTGTCAAGAGAACTCATAACAAAAGATCTATTCAGGGAGGTGAGAGAAAGCTTGCCATCAAGGAAGTTATGATCCACCCAAGGAAGACCAGAGTAGGCTGGAAGAAGATGAAAGTAAGGACAGGGTAAGGGAAGAGCACACTGGGAATGGCTCTGCACAGGAAGAAACTAGAATGTGTTCAAGGAATGTAGAGAAGGGTCCCAGGAGAGAAGACACCCAGTGGAAGAATACAGAGAATACAGAGAATTCAGGATGACATCATCCTCAAGTATCTGCTTTCTCTCTGATTATCCCAAGAGCAGTGGGAAGCCATTGAATGATCAGAGGTTTATATTTTGAAAACTGACTTTAGCTCTAGTTTGTGAAATGGGGTGAAAGGTCTCAGATTGACCCTGACTGGTGGGCCTCCTGCCAGGGATGGTAGATGCAGGGGCAGGGATGGGCAGGGTGGCTGCAGACGAAAATGGGAAGACTGTGAACTCAACTTTCCTGAATTGCTGAAGTGGCACTGGTTTGGACAGGGCTATTGGTAGGCAGACAACACCCAGTCCACCTGACTGTACTTGCTATATCCTAAACACAAAAACTGGGGAGTGGTATTTTCTTAAAAGACAGATTTAGAGGCAGCTTAGGTGCTGGCTGTGGGACAGTGGTGACAAGGCTAAGATCTTGTTCTAAGATCAAGCAAATGAGACTCTTTGATTGACAGGAAGTTGGGTTTCCTTGGGAGGGCTATTTACCTTTATTCTCTGTAATCCCGACCACCTGACTCTGCTAACAATCTTTCCTTTGGATAAAACAGTTCAGCAGGCTATAGATATATTGATAGCACGATATCAGAATTTTTTAAGCTGGAAATAGGGTAAGCCCATAATTCATTTCCTGACAGACATGAGGGAAAGAGAAAGTGACTTATGATCATAATGAAACCTCCAAAAAGATGTAAACTAGGAATGTTTGGGGGAAACCTGGTCACCCTACCAAGAAGGGAAAGTTGAAAGGTCACCCTGCTTGGCTCCCACTATCTCCCCTTGAAGAGGAGAGGCTCAGCATTTTGCCTTCAACTGCTCTATCCAAATGCAAATTCAGGCTTTAAGCTGACTCCTAGGCCACTTTATTTTTATATTCTCTGCCATGCTTAAGTAATTTTGAAAATAACATTTCCCACCTTTAACACCCTGATGGCTGATCCTTTATAATTACTCCACGAATTACCCCTGAAAGAAGCAGCTCAAAATGGGAGGCAACACCCAAGAGCTCTTCAGAAATGCTGCACTCCATTTAAACCACATCAGAATCTGCATTTGAACCAGAAGCTCAGGTGTTCAATATGCACATTAGAGTGTGAGAAACATTTTCTGGACTTGACCTTGGGTAAGAAAAACATTTTACAATGTGATGCTGCAGGCATGCACAACTGAACCAAAAGCTGAATGAGGCAATACTTTACCATTTTATGAGAAAAAAATATATATATGCTCAGAACTCATTTCAGCAACCACTCAAGGGTCACCATTTGTAGTTCCAAAACACACCCCTAAAGCACCCAGTAGGAATCTAGATGTTAGGGAGTAAGGGAAAGATGCTTCATGGGGCTGCTGCCGAAAGTGTATACACTCAATGTGGACTTACTTTCTGAAACGTGCACTTAGTCACTCCGAAGTAAATACACGGAGCAAGAAACTCTGGAGGGCGGTGAGGGGCAGCTGAAAGTTTGCCAAAGCCCTTGGAGGGGCTGGTCTTGGGGACATGATTGGCAGCTACGAGAGAGCGCGGGCTGGAAGCCAGGAGAGAGAGAGAAGGCTCTCAGCAGCAGAGGTCCTGCCCAGCTGTTGGCGAGGAGTTTCCTGTTTCCCCCCCAGCGCCGGGGTGAAGTTGAGTGAGTCACTCGCGCTCACCGACGGCGACACCCCCGCGCGCGCACACCGCGGGCAGGAGCCGGCCTCCTGCGCAGCTCCCCTCGGCCGCCGGGGGCCTCCCCGCGCCCCGCCAGCCTCCAGGCCCCCTCGGAGTTGGCCAGCCCGCGCCACAGCTGGCTCGAACATCTGCCTGGCCCGCCCGGTGCGGGGTCCCGAGAGGGCGCAGCGCGGAGGCACAGCCGGGGTCCGGGAAGGCGCCGTCCGCTGTGCTCAGAGCTCGGTCTATGACGAGCAGTGGGATCTGCCATGGGTCGGGGGCTGCTCCGGGGCCTGTGGCCGCTGCACATCGTCCTGTGGACGCGCATCGCCAGCACGATCCCACCGCACGTTCAGAAGTCGGGTGAGTGGCCCCCCAGCCAGAGCTTGGCTGGGCGCCGGGGGTCTCCGGGGCTCTCCGGGGCTCTCCGGGGCTCCCCGCCCCTGCGCTGCGCTTGACAGTCGGCCCCGGGAACCCGGCGCTGGGGCGGAAACAGGAAAGTTTCCCTGCGCAGCACCCACGCAGACCAGCCCCGCAGCCGGGTGTGAGTTTGTCTTTAAAAAGAGAAGGAAAGTTAAAGGGGATGGGGCGCAGGGCGCGTTTGGCCCCCTTTGTGCGCGCAGGAAAGGCGTTGAGCTGGCTGTGTTCGAGGCGAACCCCCACCCCCGGAAAGGGAAGTTTGAGAGTCGGTTATCTGGAGGAGGCAGCGGAGCAGCGGCCCGGAGCGGTGGCGGCCGAGGCCGCCAAAGCAGCTGGCACACCTGGAGCCACCGCGGCCCGCGGCGATGTGCGTGGTGCCCACCCAGGTCTTGCCAGGCCGGCCCCTCGCAAGGCCATTACTTCGTCCTTTGAGCGAGGAAGGGCTACACCTCCCCCCCGGGCCTGCTTCTTGCCTGGAGTTACAGTATTAGTTTCAAGAGGAGAAGCTATTTCTAAAGGACTTAGCAGAGATGGGAGCAGGAGTGGAGACTGTTGGGTGGAACGCGGAGAGTTATTTACTGAATGTCAACTAGTTGCTAGGTGCTGGGGATGTAGCCTGGAGCACAACAACTCTGCCTTCTGGGAGGCGATGGTTCTCTGAAATTACTGTTTGGTGGAAAGGGTTAAAATCCTATAAGTTAAGCCCACCTGATTGCTAAGTTTTAGAGGGGGGAATGCAGGAATTGAGCTCTTTGGTGTGGATTTGTTATGGAAAGCACTGAGCCCTTAAGTTAGAGTCATTTGCAGCTGTGCTCCTGGCCACTGAGTATTTACTGCAGTGGCCTAGGTAACTCAGTCCTCGGTTTCCTCGTCTGTAGAATGGCATGGAAAGCTTTGGATGATTTTATATCCCCTTCACGTTTAACTTCTATGCCCTACTCCTCCTGCTTAGCAAACTAGGAGGTGGCCAGTGGGATGAAATGTCGAGAATTTGACAGCCCACGCCACTCTGAGGCACACGTTATTTACCCAAGGGCTGAAGGCCGATTCACTTTTACACTTGTCTAGAAGAAATATGCACCGGGTTCTAAATGGTACATTCAGAGTAATCGAAGTGGATTGAGAACTTTTATTAAAACTTAGGTCTTATATTGAAGGTGGCATGGAGATGGGAATTTTTAATGGAATGAGGAAGAAGCACTATTGTAAAGAAGAAATTCTAACAGAAATTTGAGTTCTATAGTTTAATAAAATCTCAAGGTTTCACTCTTGAATGTTTTTCTGCATTCCAGTGCCAGAATGGTTAACTGTCTCTGAGTACCCCAGACTCTTAAAAACTGTGTTATATTTTGCTAATAAGTATTTTAAATGGCACCCATAATTTTCTGTGCATGTTGAAAATCATGAAGACTTTTGTTCCAAATTACGAAAGAAGGAAATTAGCAGGCCCTGATTTTTTGCTAGGTTTTGTTTACAAGGATAAGATTTATGATTTGCAAATTCCAGACTTAATAGTTCATGAGTCAGTTTCATTTCATCTATATATACACTTCTAAACAATTAACTTAAAAGCCTGGTGGCTTTTTATTTGGGCTTTTAAACAGTTTTACAAAACCCACAGATATCCTATTTTTATGAAATTTAAGTTTCAAAATGGTTGAACTAAAGAATCATCTAGAATTTTTATTCCTTTGAAATTAAATTTCAGAAGATAGTTGGAAGTTAAAGATAGCTATAGTGAAGACAAGAAATTATATACACTTTTATTTCAATTTTGCATGTAAATAAATGGTTTCAAGATTTTTCTAACATAATTGGCTAACTGTCAAAACATTTCTCACAATATCTTAACAAGGAATAAGATATAAGGAAATGACATTGCTTATAGCCAACTGTTAGTTCACCTTAAAAACAAATCTTTATTCTGTTTAGTAGATTGAAAAGTGGGTAAAGGAATTCAGTATAAGGACAAAATCACTGGGAAATATACTTAAAATTAAAAATGTATATATTAGGTTTGACTTAGTAGAGTCACTCTTCCTAAATGCTCAAAATTAAATAATAACTCATGTAGGGAAAACTAAATATCCTTAAGCAAGTCAGATCTGCAAAATGTGACTTACTTTTCAAATACCTGACAAGTGGTAAAGTTCATAAGGTTAAACTTACTGAAATCACATTAATGATGGACTTACTTTTTTAGCAAGGGCTATAGGAAATCACTAGGCCCCAAATTTGATCTTTGGTCTATTTGCATTTATTCCCAGAGAGTACATTCTCACTTCTAGGCCACTTCCTATAATAACACCTTATTTTTAACAACTTATGGTTTATACAAAATACCCATCTTTTTGGAACTAGGACCCATGGTGATGAATCTTCACTATTGCCTGTGTACTCACCCTCACTGGTATAGCTTTTCCAGTTCAGTTTACCAATCCTAATGATCACGATAACATTTTAAAATTTTCATTTATTTATTTATTTAGATGTATTTATTTATGCATACAAGACTGGGCTACAGACCAGAGGTGTGGGGGGTGAGAGGATTCACCAGAGACACAGTGGGGAGCAGAACAGCTGGATCTACTGAAACACACTGTTGAGGGGAGCAGCCGGTGAGACAGGAGAGTTCTGCTGTGCCATGCGGCTTGCTCCCTCCCCTCCTGGGGATTGAACTCGTGGTGCAGAGGCTGTGGATAACTTCACAGTGCTGTGCTTAATGCCTTGTGACACTGGGGAGGCCCAAATTTTCTTTATTTTTTTATCCCCATTTTCCCATTAAGGAATGACACCTCATAAGTGTAAACAGTGGCCATTCCTCATTCTTCCTTTCAGAAGTATTTTTAGTGTTTCCTTGTGCCTGGCAGAATGCACAGGCCTGGACATACCATTTAAATGAGTAAGACGGACATGGTTTTTGCTCTCTTTGTGTTTAACATACGAGAGTGAGTTAAAGGTATAGAGGAGGATACATATTTTCACTCTCTATACATGGGAGCATTATTGAATAACAGACCCCACTCTCAGAACCCTACTGGAGGGGATGTGTATTGAACATTTCCTTCTCAGTTCCTCTGAAGATAGTTCTCTCATTGATTCCTCCTCATTTTTCTTTCTTTTTTTTTTAAGATTTTTTAAAATTTATTTATGCATACAAGAGCTGGAGTGTGGGCCAGAGGTGGGGGAGTGGGGGTGGGGAGGTGAGAGGATTCGCCAGAGACAGAGTGGGGAGCAGAACAGGCAGATCTACTGATGTACAGTGCTGATGGGAGCAGCAGGTGAGACAGGAGAGGTCTGTTGAGCCATGTGGGTAGCTCCCCAGCTGGCAGGGAATCGAACTTGTGCTGCAGTGGCTGGCCATAGCTTGATAGCACTGTCTTTAACCCCTGTACCACCAGGGAAGACCCCCTCCTCACTTTTCTATACCTGCCATGTTATAGGCCTACATGGGCCACCTAATTCTCCATTCTGTCGGCAGCATGATGGACCCTCATAGGCTGAGTCAGAAGGTTGTACATTACACTCTTTGAAACCAGACCTCCCCCATTTACTGCTCTGTCACCTATTGCAGTTACTTTACTTTTCTAGCCTCAGTGCCCTTATCTATAAAATGGGATTATGGACTTGTGGTGAGGTTGAAATCAAAGAATGCTTTAAAGAACTTTTGACAGTACCTACAACATAGTAAATACTCAATGAGTATCAGTTTCCATTGCTAGGATTAACTTCTTAATCAGGTCTTATGGGGTCTTCAGTAGCTGCTTCCTATCTCATCCTGCAGCAACACAGCTCTCCAAGGCTCACATGTTTCCAGTCCATGACTTTCCTCCTGCAGATAGATGGTGTGAGGAGTGTAGGCAGCTACACCTTTGTTTAAGCTCTGTCTGCCTGGAGTTCCTGGCACCTGACTAATTTTAATTTATTTTTTAAGACTTAACTCTAGTGTTCTCTTAATGGCCCCAGTGACTAAGTGTGCCCTCCTGGGTACTTCTTTCTCAACTGGTAACAATAGTTAACCAAAATTATATCTTTATGGGACTCCTTTGTTTAGCAGGCCAGGGGCATGTCTTCTTCATTTCTCTGTCTCCAGGATCGCCTGCAGAGCCCGGAGTATCAGCACCCTAGAAATGCCACTTCTTTCTCCTGAAGGGTTAGTACTACCAAGTTGAGCTTTTTAACAATGAGGCAGTCATTGTTTATTGAGAGGTTGGCCTGAATAGTGAAATCTTTACTTTTAGTGAGAACATTTTTAACCCTGGCCTAGTAGGCGATTTGGCAGTTTGTATATTATGTCATCAATTCTTCTGATGAGATATGGAAAAAGATGTTTCAGCTTGTGAAAAACACGATAGAAACTGCTAGCAGTTTTTAGCCAACATCTTTAGCTATAAAATTTGACCTAGTGGAGGGCATTCAAAGCCACTACAGAACTTTTTCAAAGTTTCACCCAAGAAACTTTCCAGTAAATACTGAATTCTCTGGTTTTTTTCTAAAAGGTGGTGGGAAGGAGACATTCATTAAAAATGAAGTGCTGAATCTAAATTTAGTTTTTGAGTTTTTTCATCAGGGTTTTATGTTTTGGTTTATAAGCAGTGAAGCAGAGTTGATCTAAGGGAAGTGTGGGCCTGTGGCTGCTGCTGTCTGATGTAGAGCAGTGTGGATATTATTTAGATCTGATGCAAACCACCAAAATAGTTTAAAATAGGGTGCAGAGGAAGCAAGCTTCCTGGCCACCGCATGGCATCATTTAGCCAATTTCCACATAAAACGTAACTCATAACTCTATCACCTTGTTAGCTTCTGCCCTCCAGGTCCTTGTGTACAATTTCAACAGATTTAACTCAGAATTTTAAGTAGCAGGTATGCACTGGCAGCAAGGAGGCCCACCACTGACTTTGCACTCCCTCTTTCCCTTGCAATATTTTGCTCCCCACGTACTT